CCAGAGGAAACAACTGATGATGAATATCTGTAAGGACATGATTTTTATTCTTTTGGGGGGAAAGCTCCTGGTTATGTAGGTAAATAATAAAAATTAGATAATAAACATGATAGTATGATCAAAAAGCAGTCTCCTCAATGTTGGCAGGTGGCTAGTAGGATTTGTAGTAGAGAGGACAGGCAAACCATCAGTAGACTGAGCTAGAGTCAATGACATGGGACCATCGCCTGGACTGTCCATAAGTAGGACTAGGGGAGAACATTAGCTTAATTTACATTGAAAGGCACACCTAACTAATTCAGATTTCCTGAAATGTTTCTAAAACCAAAACACTGACATCCTTTGAAATTCATATTTTTCCCTTCTGCACTTTTTTCCTACTCTGCCCTTCAGCATTTGTGTCATACATTTCATTCTGTTCTCCACAAAGACTTCATTAGAACCAGCAAATGTTAGAAGGGCCCTACTGGCTCCACCCAAAGGACCATATAGCCCTCCACTGTGATCTCACAGTGGCCAACCAGATGGCCATGAGAAACCCACAAGCAAGTCCTGAGCATTACAGCAGTCTTCTCAGCTCCTGTTCCCAGAAACTGGGATTCAAAGGCATGGTGCCTCCAATGGTGGGGAGAGAACCTAGCCACTGTGCTTAATAGCTATATCCATCATTACAAATGTCAAATCTTCATTTAAAGTCATATAAGTTGGTAGTCATCACTAACACTTGTGGGAATAAATTTCATAGTTTACCTGTTGTTGTTGTTTAGTCGTGTCCGACTCTTCGTGACCCCATGGACCAGTGCACGCCATGCACTTCTGTCTTCCACTGTCTCCCACAGTTTGCTCAGACTCATGTTTGTAGCTTCAAGAACACTGTCCAACCATCTCGTCCTCTGTCGTCCCCTTCTCCTTGTGCCCTCAATCTTTCCCAACATCAGGGTCTTTTCCAGGGAGTCTTCTCTTCTCATGAGGTGGCCTTTCGCATGATGAATTCTGCATATAAGTTAAATAAGCAGGGAGACAATATACAGCCTTGCCGTACTCCTTTCCCAATTTTGAACCAATCAGTTGTTCCATATCCAGTTCTAACTGTAGCTTCTTGTCCCACATAGAGATTTCTCAGGAGACAGATGAGGTGATCAGGCACTCCCATTTCTTTAAGAACTTGCCATAGTTTGCTGTGGTCGACACAGTCAAAGGCTTTTGCATAGTCAATGAAGCAGAAGTAGATGTCTTTCTGGAACTCTCTAGCTTTCTCCATAATCCAGTGCATGTTTGCAATTTGGTCTCTGGTTCCTCTGCCCCTTCAAAATCCAGCTTGCATTTCTGGGAGTTCTCGGTCCACATGCTGCTTAAGTCTGCCTTGTAGAATTTTAAGCATAACCTTGCTAGCGTGTGAAATGAGTGCAATTGTGCAGTAGTTGGAGCATTCTTTGGCACTGCCCTTCTTTGGGATTGGGATGTAGACTGATTTTCTCCAATCCTCTGGCCACTGCTGAGTTTTCCAAATTTGCTGGCATATTGAGTGTAGCACCTTAACAGCATCATCGTTTAAAATTTTAACTGGTTCAGCTGAAATATCATCACTTCCACTGGCCTTGTTATTAGCAGTGCTTTCTAAAGCCCATTTGACTTCACTCTCCAGGATGTCTGGCTCAAGGTCAGCAACCACACTACCTGGGGTGTACAAGACATCCATATCTTTCTGGTATAATTCCACTGTGTATTCTTGCCACCTCTTCTTGATGTCTTCTGCTTCTGTTAGGTCCTTTCCACTTTTGTCTTTTATTATGGTAATCTTTGTACAAAATGTCCCTTTCATATCACCAATTTTCTTGAACAGATCTCTGGTTCTTCCCATTCACTTGTTTTCCTCTATTTCTTTGCATGGCTCGTTTAAGAAGGCCTTCTTGTCTCTCCTTGCTATTTTTTGGAAATCTGCATTCAGTTTCCTGTCTCTTTCACTATCTCCCTCACATTTTGCTTGCCTTCTCCCCCGCTATTTGTAAGGCCTCGTTGGACAGCCACTTTGCTTTCTTGCATTTCCTTTTCATTGGGATGGTTTTAGTTGCTGCCTCCTGTATAATGTTACAAGCCTCCATCCATAGTTCTTCAGGAACTCTGTCCACCAAATCTAAATCCTTAAACCTGTTCCTCACTTCCACTGTGTATTCATAAGGGATTTGACTTAGATTGTATCTTACCGGCCCTGTGGTTTTTCCTACTTTCTTCAGTTTAAGCTTGATTTTTGCTATAAGAAGCTGATGATCTGAGCCACAGTCAGCTCCAGGTCTTGTTTTTGCTGACTGTATAGAGCTTCTCCATCTTTGGCTGCAGAGAATATAATCAATCTGATTTCGATGCTGCCCATCTGGTGATGTGCATGTGTAGAGTCGTCTCTTATGTTGTTGGAAAAGAGTGTTTGTGATGACCAGCTTGTTCTCTTGGCAGAACTCTATTAGCCTTTGCCCTGCTTCGTTTTGAACTCCAAGGCCAAACTTGCCAGTTGTTCCTTTTATCTCTTGACTCCCTACTTTAGCATTCCAATCCCCTATAATGAAAAGAACATCCTTCTTTGGTGTCAATTCTATAAGGTGTTGTAAGTCTTCATAGAATTGGTCAATTTCAGTTTCATCAGCACCAGTGGTTGGTGCATAAACTTGGATTACTGTGATGTTAAAAGGTCTGCCTTGGATTCGTATCGAGATCATTCTATCATTTTTGAAATTGCATCCCAATACAGCTTTTGCCACTCTTTTGTTGACTATGAGGGCCACTCCATTTCTTTTACGGGATTCTTGCCCACAGTAGTAGATATGATGGTCATCCAAACTGAATTCGCCCATTCCTGTCCATTTTAGTTCACTGATGCCCAGGATGTCAATATTTATTCTTGCCATCTCATTTTTGACCACATCCAACTTACCAAGGTTCATGGTTCTTACATTCCAGGTTCCTATGCAATATTTTTCTTTACAGCATTGGACTTTCCTTTCACTTCCAGGCATATCGGCAACTGAGCGTCCTTTCGGCTTTGGCCCAGCCGCTTCATCAGCTCTGAATCTACTTGTACTTGTCCTCCGCTCTTCCTCAGTAGCATGTTGGACGCCTTCCGACCTGAGGGGCTCATCTTCCAGCGTCATAACTTTTATATTCCTGTTGTCTTTGTCCATGGGGTTTTCTTGGCAGGGATACTGGAGTGGCTTGCCGGTTCCTGCTCCAGGTCGATCACGTTTCCTCAAAACTCTCCACTATGACCTGTCCATCTTGGGTGGCCCTGCACGGCATTGCTCATAGCTTCTCCGAGTTATTCAAGCCCCTTCACCATGGCAAGGCAGTGATCCATGAAGGGGATAGTTTACCTAAGTGTTTGCTTTCTTTTGTCTCCCTTGAGTCTTTCAAAATTCAGTTTCATTGCATGTCCTCAGATTATAATCTTATGGGATAATGTGTGTGTTTTTTGTGTGTTTATCCACTTTCAAAACATGAAGTCTGTCCAGCAGAAGCAAGACAGAAGCAGGAAAACCCACCACATGCATAATCTCTCTATTGTTTCAGCGCATTGCCAAAGAACTACCAGCATGCCCTTTCCTTAGTCTTTGCTGTGAATGAGGTCAACAAGAACCCCAACATTTTATCCAACATCACTTTGGGGTTCCAGATCTATGACAGCTACAGTGATGCAAAGATGACTTATCAGAATACGTTGAACCTCATCTCTCATCCTAGGAAAACCATCCCCAACTACAAGTGTGGTGTTGAGAAGAACCTGATAGCTGCCATTGGGGGCCTTGACTCTGAAACTTCAAGCCACATGGCCTCCATCTTGGAGCTTTATAAGGTTCTACAGGTAGGAAGAGTGTGGCTGGAATGAAGACTCCACAACTGTTGTATATGATTTAGCCTTAGTGTGTATTCCCAGGGCATTGGGAGGGGGAGAGGGAAAGGAGACTTATTTTTGGCAGGCTAAAACAAAAAAGTCTTACGTATTTTTCTTTTTCAAATAACATAGTTATCTGTAGAAAATAATGTCCAGAATTGTCAGCTGATTATGCCAAACTCTGCCTCTGCCTCACTAGCATATGTCTGATGGACCTTGGTAGTTTTCAGCCCTGTAAAAGGTCCCTGTGGGAAGAAAATATGGGAAGGAACCCATGCTTTAGAAGATTCTCCAAATTTTGCTCTGAAGTATCACATGGAAATCAGCTCTTTTTCCTCCAAGCACCATTTTTGGTGTGGTGTAATCTGAAGGAAAGGTGTAGGGTGAAGACTTTGGTTGGTGCGATGAAAACTCACCAATGTATCCAATCCAGCACTCACCATAATGCATTTGCACTGTTTCAACCTAATGGAATGGAGTTAATGGAATGGTTCTGGTCCCAATCTCTCCCTCTGCTGAAGCATGAGGTATGTTTGGTTATTTAAAGACACATAAATATCCTACCTGGTGATTTAAAAATCCCTCTGTTCTTTGCTAGATCACCTATTCTTCATTTACTCCAGCGGTGAGTGAAAAAGACCATATTTCTTCCTTGTACCAAATGGCCCCCAGTGAAGAACATCAATACACTGGCATTGTTCAGCTTCTTCTCTATTTCCAGTGGAAATGGGTTGGGATATTTGTCACAGCTGATGATAAAGGAGAAACGTTTGTGAAAATGTTGACACACCAGCTTTCCCAGAATGGCATATGTGTAGCTGTCACTGAAAGAGTGGTAAACCACAGTGGTTTTGATGTTACTGGGTTGATAGAGAAATGTCAGAATACGGCCGAGTCCCTAAGCAAAACAAACGTCAATGTATTTGTTGTCAATGCAGACAAAAGCAGCAAGACAGGTTTGCAATGGCTGCTACTGATAGGTAGAGAGATGAGTATGAGTCCCATAAACAAAGTGTGGGTTATGACCGCCGACTGGGATTTCTCTTCAGAACCATACCACAAAGATCTGGATGTACTAAACTTCCATGGTGCCTTATCCTTTGCCATTCATTCCAGTGAGGTGAAGGGGTTCCACCGTTTCCTCCTGAACCTAAATCCCCACTCTGAGGCCGATGGCTTTATCAGGTTGTTCTGGCAACAGGCATTTGGTTGCCAGTTTCTAGATGTGGAAACGGAGGAGGGATCCTGCACTGGTGAGGAGAAGCTGGAGAGCCTTCCTGGGGCTTTTTTTGAAATGCAAATGACCAGCCAAAGCTACAGCATCTACAATGCCGTCTATGCTGTGGCACATGCTTTGCATGCCATGTTGGCATCCAGAACCAAATATGGAGGGATGATGCTTGAGCACTATGTGGGACTTCATGAGCCACAATATTTTCAGGTAATGTCTAACACGGAAAGCAGATCATTTTTTTAATGAATAGCCCAATCATAATGTGCTTGGAGAGCACATACAGAGGCTTCCACATCCACAGAGAATGTTGCTTTTTCATTCGGTTGTTTGGAAAGTTGTAAGTACAGTATTTATTATTATAAGGGCACAGAAGTGCTCCTAATGAAGGTGAGAATCAAACACATGGTTCCTTGAGTATAGGCTGCAGAAATCTATTGCTAATAAAAGGGTGTTTCTTCAGAAACTAAGGATATTTGTTATATATTTCTGAAGCTATCAATAGATTGTTCAAATTTCAATGAGATCTGATATAAAATACAACAATTAAGTTCAAAAGTGCTAACAAACACACTTGTAACCTTTTTCTTCTACCCAAACATGCCATATATTTCTATCCAGTTGTGATAAAAACTGCTGAAGTACTTTATTCAGGTTCGTTAAGGAACACACATTTTCATTAGTTTGGTGAAATTCGATAGGCAATACAAGAGTTTTGTTGTATTAAATTCTATGTAAGTTGCCAGCAAATTTACGGTAAGCCAAATGTCTTGCCAATACTGCAACGCTTGAATGTTTTTAGCAAGAACTGACAAAAGTTGAACGAAAATGTTGAACTTAGGTTTGATGGCTATGGATTGGGGATTAAATCTGTGAATTAAAGTTTAAACCTCCTGTTCAGCATGTGTGGGAGAAATATGAGGCCAAACAGGCTGTGAAGCCCTTTTTTTAGCAGAATAAAACCACTTATGCAATTTGCAGCTTCCTGGAAGCGAGGAAATAGGAAATTTCACAATTTTTCCCTGTTTATTTGTGTTCTGCTGATCTTTCCTCAGTTTCTACCTGTTTCTATGAATAAACCACACAAATTTGTAAAAGTAGAAAGGTTTACTTATATTCAATGAAGGCAGCTACTACTTCTAGGTAAAAAAATGCTTCTTAGTTATGATATACAAAATTAGTTTCTAAAATGGAATGTAGGAAAGTATGTGTCCCCTTAAAACTCAGGGGGAGTTTCAACATATAGTATGAATTGATCGCAGCATGAGAAAACAGAAGCTTTGTGGTGTGTTCTCTATTTTTACCAAATCTACCATTCTCTTTCTGCCTCTGTAGCTTCAACCTTTCCTGAGGAATATCTTGTTTAACAACAGTGCTGGGGACACTGTCTTTTTAATGAGAAACGTGAGCTAGAAGGTGGATTTGATATTATCAACTGGGTAACTTTCCCAAATAAGTCCTTCTTAAGAGTGAAAGTTGGGAAGATGGATCCCCAAGCACCACTGGGCAGTGATTTCTCCATTGATGAGAAGAGCATTACATGGCACCAGAGTTTTAACCAGGTAGGACCCAATTGCAGCTTCTGAGGTCTATAGGTAGACATGCACCAGATTTGTTTGTTAATCATTTACACCCTATGGAAGGAGTTCCTTTTAGCTGCATTGATTTCTGTTGTTGCCATGTTACGTAAGTTATTTTTCTTAATGTGTAATGTGAATTAAAAATCCAATAATTATATAAATTTTAGAAGACTTTTAGAAGACATCTGAAGGCAGCCTTGTTTAGGGAAGCTTTTAATGTTTGATGCATTACGGTATTTTAATATTTTGTTGGAAGCCACCCAAAGTGGCTGGGGAAGCCCAGCCAGATGGGCAGGGTATAAATAATAAATTATTATTATTATTATTATTAACATTTTAGAATAAGAACATCCACATGCTACAAGCACAGTCATCATGCAATGCAAAATTGTGCTTCGTAGGAATCTTTAGTATCATTTCTGTGATTCATTTCTTTAAAGGAACCAAGTTGCCACTTCTCATCTTTAAAAAAATATTATAAAAGGAAACACATATCAGTAGGTCCATTGTCTTGCACATTTTCTTTCCTGAACCATTTACTGGCTGATTGGCTCAGTTGGTTAGAGCATGGTGTTGATAATGCCAAGGTCACAGGATTGATCCCATTTTAGGACAGCTGCATTACAGGGGGGTTGGAATAAATTATTCTCAAAGTTCCTTCCAATGCTACAATTTTTGATTCTATTGCCTTTTTTATTGGGTTAAATATCCACTAATATTGGTGATTGTCACAACCATTGTAAAGTTGGCGGTGCTAATTAATTATTTTTAAAAAACAAAAAACAACCCTCTGGGTGCCTTATTTCAATGCAGCAGCCTGTTGATGAAAAGGCAGAGACCAAACACAAATAGAATAGAATACATGCAATACCTTCTGTTTTATGGGCAGGTGGTGCCCCTTGCCTTGTGTAATGACCACTGCCATCCAGGTTACAGCAGACAAAGGAAAGAGGGGAAACCATTTTGCTGCTATGATTGTACTCCATGTCCAGAAGGGAAGATTTCAAACCAGACAGGTAAGGTACTGTATGCTATAGTATATCAACTATATTGAGAACATGTTTTTGTTAGCCATTTGTGAACAAACAGACGTCTTACAAAAGACTTGAAGATAAACCTTTACTTGTCCGGTTGTCAACTGTTGAACAACAAGTATTATTCATATATATATATATAAATGCAATGAGCTTCTGTCCCTTGAGCCCACTGAGAAGCTTTAGTCCTTTTTTGTTTTCAAAGCTCCTTCATAGCAGAGCATAAGTTTATAATCCATATCTTGCCCATCCTCAAAAACTCCCCCAGAGAGTGTCTGCTTGAAGTCACTAAACTCCCACGCTCTCAATCAAAGATGCAACTAACAGTAGAACCAACCAACCGTCAAGTACCAACTACCTTCTTCTTCCCCAATACCATTTATTCTTTGTGAAATATATTTACTGTTCTTAAACCACTGTACAAGTGTATTAAATGCTGTACCACTGTACAAGTGTATTATCATAAACAATATTATAAATTGCTAACCAGCATATCTTCTGCTTACCTCCACACCTGAAAACTTCATGGATTGCATGGACAGCAACTTACTTGATCACCAAAATTCTAGAAATGTCAATTCAAGAGAATTTTTTTGGCCATATTCCTAGGTGTGTTAACTGGATTATATTAGCACCTTTAGTCTTCCGTTGACATTAAGCTTCCTTTCTGGGAAAGGAAATTGGTAAATGTAACTTCCTATTTTACAACCATTTCTACTGGTAAGCTGTGAAACATTAATGTTTAATTATTATTTCTCCATTCAGATAGCAAGGAAAGCTCCTATTGTTAGAATGGGGACTTTTTTCTCTCTAAACACACCAACTTTCAATTCTATGCATGTGTAAACACAAACATTTATGGAGCTTATGATTTAGATTTAATTCTCATTTAATTATCCACTGAAAAGAATCTTCCAAAAATAGCTTACCTTAAAGACAAAACATGTTAACACTATAACAATTTCCTGAAAAGATAATGTTTTGTATCATGTATACTGTGAATTACATTGAATTATAGTACAGTGACATTCAAAGTTTCCTGATCCGATACCATAAATATTTATATCTCAGTGAGACTGAAAATACTATAACTGTAATCCTGATTTCTTTATACTGCAAGATATGGATGACTGCTTTCAGTGCCAAGAAGATCAGTATCCTAACCAAGAGAGAAACCAGTGCATCAGCAAGAAAGAAAACTTCCTATCTTATGAAGCACCTTTAGGCATCAGTTTGGCTCTTTTGGCTCTGGCTTTTTCTGTAACTACGGCTTTGGTGTTTGGAATCTTCATCAAACATCAAAACACTCCCATTGTCAAAGCCAACAACCGGAATCTCACCTACACCCTGCTCATCTCCCTCCTGCTCTGCTTCCTCTGCTCCTTGCTATTCATTGGGCGCCCCCAGTTACTGACCTGCAATCTACGACAAACTGCCTTTGGTATTATCTTCTCAGTGGCTGTTTCTTCTGTTTTGGCTAAAACCCTCACGGTGGTTCTGGCTTTCATGGCTACCAAACCAGGATCCAAGATGAGGAAATGGGTGGGGAAAAGATTTTCCACCTCTATTATTCTCTGGTTGCTCACTTATCCAAGCAAGTATTTGTACAGCATGGCTGGGTACTGACCATCCATTCCCAGATCTGGACATGCACTCTCTGCCTGAAGAAGTCATAGTGGAATGCAATGAAGGATCAGCCAACATGTTCTACTATGTTCTTGGTTACATGGGATTGCTGGCTCTTGTCAGCTTCATTGTGGCTTTCTTTGCTCGGAAGCTGCCGGACACTTTTAATGAAGCCAAATTTATTACTTTCAGCATGTTGGTGTTTTGCAGTGTGTGGCTTTCTTTTGTTCCATCCTACTTAAGCACCAAAGGGAAGTACATTGTGGCTGTGGAGATCTTCTCCATCTTGGCCTCCAGTGCTGGAATCTTGGGTTGTATTTTCTCCCCAAAATGTTATATCATTGTCTTCAAGCCTGAACTCAACTCAAAAGAGCAGCTAAAAAAGAGAAATAAGTAACAATCTAACTATTAAAATCATTATAGTGGATAACCTTTTACATGTTTTAAGGTTTGTGTGTTTGGGAAGAGTTCAGCTTTCACGTTCTCTTGATATAGATGTTGCTTACTGTCAGAACTGCAGTCGTCAAAATGTGGAAAACCTTACAGTAATTGCAACCTGCTCCAGTATAAAAATATGTGTTGTTTAGTACTAGTTGAAAGGTTTGCTCATAAAAAAATATGTTTTCAAAAGCCGTGAATATCTTGAAAAATTCTGTGCAGTTTGGTGGTGTTTTATCATGTACAGAACACAAGAGAGAGACAAAGGAGTCCCTTTCCATGGTACAACATGAAATTTGGCCTTCCTAATGATCTCAAGTATTCTACTTATCTATTTAAATCTCTTCCAGATATATTGCTTTTATGTATTTATATTTGTACTTCTACACCTAATATTTTTATTGTATTGTTCTACTTGATTTACTTTGATTAATTAATATAGAACGTGATAGTAGAGTTGGGCGAAACCCTGAAGGTCATCCAGTCCCAACCCCGGAATGCAGGAATCTCAGCTAAAGCACCCGTGACACATGGGCATCCAACCTCTGCTTTAAAACCTCCAATGAAGAAGAGCCCACTACTGCCTGAGGAGTCCCTTCCACTGTCTAACAGCTCTTACTGACAAAAAGTTCTTCCTGATGTTTAGTCGTGGAATCTCCTTTCTTGTACAGTGGTACCTCGGGTTTCATATGCTTCAGGTTACATATGCCTCAGGTTACAGACTCCACTAACCCAGAAATAGTACTTCAGGTTAAGAACTTTGCTTCAGGATGAGAACAGAAATCGTGCTCCTGCGGCGCGGTGGCAGCAGGAGGCCCCATTAGCTAAAGTGGTGCTTCAGGTTAAGGACAGTTTCAGGTTAAGAACGGACCTCCGGAATGAATTAAGTACTTAACCCGAGGTACCACTGTAACTTGAATCCATTCGTTTAGGTCCTACCCTCCAGAGCAACAGAAAACAAGCTTGCTCCAACTACCATGTGACAGCCCTTAAGATATTTGAAGATGGCAATTATATAAACATACTACAAAGATATTAAACATATCATGGCTAAACATACACAGCCCATTCAACTCTTTCTCCTAAGGCTTGGTTTCCAGACCCTTGATCATCTTGATTGCCCTACTCTGTACAAGCTCCACCTTGTCAACATCCTTCTTCCATTATGGTGTCCAAAATTGCATACAGTAGTACAAGGCAGAATAGAGTGGTACTATTACTTCCCTTGGGACGCAGGTGGCGCTGTGGGTAAAACCTCAGCGCCTAGGACTTGCTGATCGCATGGTTGGCGGTTCGAATCCCCGCGGCAGGGTGCTCTCCCGCCGTTCGGTCCCAGCGCCTGCCAACCTAGCAGTTTGAAAGCACCCCCGGGTGCAAGTAGATAAATAGGGACCTCTTACCAGCGGGAAGGTAAACGGCGTTCCGTGTGCTGCGCTGGCTCGCCAGATGCAGCTTGTCATGCTGGCCACATGACCTGGAAGTGTCTGCGGACAGCGCTGGCTCCCGGCCTATAGAGTGAGATGAGCGCACAACCCTAGAGTCTGGCAAGACTGGCCCGTACGGGCAGGGGTACCTTTACCTTTATTACTTCCCTTGATATGGACCTTATACATTTGTTGACGCAGCCTAGAACAGAATTAGGTCTTTGCTGCTGCATCATACAGTTGACTCATGCTAAATTTGTTGTCCACCAAGACCCCTAGATCTTTTTCCCATGTGCCTGTACTGCTAGTAAGCTAGGTTTCCTCCATCTAATATTTGGGAACCTGGTTCTTATTATGTTATTCCTTATTGAAATTCATTTTGTAACTTGGGCCCAGTTTTCCAATGTGTTATGGTTATTTTGAGTTCTGATTCTGTCCTGTGAAAGCAACTGTCAAGCTTTGCAATGCTTGTGTTGGTAGTGCTGTTCTCTCATAAGGAGTTCAAATTCCATAATTTGAAATGTATTGCAAATGATCCTGTTTATGTCCTACATACATGGCACCAGCCAGGTGAAATCTTTCTTGGTTGGATTGTGTCTTTTATTATCCTTTTCTGATGCTGACCTCAAGAGATCCCACATCTCAGGAGCATATTAATGTTCCACTGTTAGCCACTATCCCTCCCTCCTCCCTGATATATGCTTTGATTATATTCCATAAGTGATTCCAATTTTATCCCTATCAAAGGGTGTGTTTACTTTGAGGGGGCCCTGCCCCGTGATTGAAAAGGACTTTCACAACCATCTCAAGTATCTTGCCCCCACGCTGCCTTGCCCCTGTGATCAGGGGTGCCTGGGCAGTGTGACATCAGCAGGCCATGCACACATTCCGTGGGGTGTTCTGATGTCACTTGCACACACTGTGGGGTGTGTTGACATGTTATGCAGACGCCCCATGGCTTACGCATGGGTCACAACATGCTGACATCATGTGGCCCGTGTGCCATCAATTGTGGTGGCACAGTGGGGTGACGCGAGCATGCCCTTTGGCGTGCGCCACAATGGCTGCCATGAAATGTTGAGGGAGCCCTGCC